TGTGGACAATTAGTCCTTTGGACTAATCTTTTCGTTGTATCCTGTTCTCTTCATTCGCACTTGCTCCCGAAGAGATGAGACCAGTGGAGTATCTTATATGGCCGCTCACAGGCTTTTAAGACCCCAGACACTACTCACCAAGGTAGAATGTAGAGCATTATCTTTATAAGTAGTGTCATGCCGCATTGTGCTCTTTTAAGAACTATCTGTATGGGATCAAATTGACAACAGCAACTCGACAGATTAGATGGGAACCTTAGGGGGCAGTGAATTTATGTTAATGAGGAAGGAACAACTCAGAAAAGCAAGGTTATAAATGATTGCCCCTCAAAGAATGTAATCAGTGTTACTAAATAATACATGTAGAAACTGTTGAATTGATGTATGTTTTGCTATGTATATTCTCAACAACAACAACAAAACATAAAATTCAGGGAAAAAAATTTATAAATTTACAATCAAATAAATTATGTTAAAAACAGAGGTAGTAAATACTCAACACGCATAACTTCCTAATTATTTTACTATTATTTGTGCTCTTAAGGTTATTTATATCTATTTTATTTGTATGGTGAAGATGCTATATAATGGTGTGCTACTGCACATCCCTTAACAACTTGATATTCAGTGATATCACATTGGTAGTTTGAAATTGGCCATGGCAGAAGTATTTACAACACAGCAAGCAGTTGGCAAGTGCTAGGTATCGCGGTTTTTTTTTTTTTGTTCTTGGAGAAATAATCGTTAAGCCTTTGTTGTTGTTAGGTGCTGTCGAGTTGGTTCCAACTCCTAGTGACCCTATGTACAACAGAACAAAACACTGCCCAGTCCTGTGCCATCCTCACAATAGTTGCTATGTTGGAGCCCATTGTTGTTGCCACTGTGTCAGTCCATCTCATTGAGGGTCTTCCTCTTTTTTGCTGACATTCTACTTTATCAAGCATGATGTCCTTCTCCGGGGATTGGTCCCTACTGATAACATGTCTGAAGTACGTGAGATGAAGTCTTGCCATCTTGCATCTAAAGAGCATTCTCGCGATTAAGCCTTTACCTGAACATAGTTGGATCCATCCATTACCCATGTACAATGAATGAAAAAAAGACCTACACTGAGGCATATCATCATGAAATTTTGGAACACTGAGGATAAAGAGAAAATTGAAGAAACTTTTAGAAAAAAGATAACATTTTACATATAAAAAATAATGCTTCAGAATGGCATCGGACTTATCAGTAGCAACACTGAAAGCTAGAAGCCATTGGAATCATGCCCTCAGGCTTCTCTGAAAAAATTATTTTTAATTTAGAATTCTATATACAAATAATGGAGTGGAACAAAGATATTTTTCAGACATGTAAGGTCTGAAAAAATTGCCTGCCATGTATCTTTTCTAAGGAAGCCTCTGGAAGACACACCTCACCATAAACCAAGAGATAGTCCAGCACTGGAGAAAGACAAAGAGAATTGGGAAGGTGATAGTAAAGGGAGGTTTCAGAATGAAAGATCACCGGTCAAAGCAGATGGAAGCAGGGGAGTGGAAGATTCCAGGAGGAATCATTCAAGGACAAAATAAAATGGTTAGGCTGGCTAGTGGGTTTGAGTGTATTAAGATGAGATTGTCAGTTCTACTCTAGTAGAATTGTCAGGATAGGCCTCATTGAGAAGATATTTGAGCAAAGCTTTTGGAGGAGTTAAGGGAGCAAGCCATGTGGATATCGGTGGGAAGAATATACCAAGTAAAAGCAATAGCAGATGTAAAGGCTCTGAGGTGGGAGAGTCTCTGATGCACCTGAGGAACACCAAGGAGGCCAGGGTGACTGGATTGGAGTGCACAAGGGGCAGAGTGGTTTAGGAGATGTGGGCAGAGACCAGATCTGGAGCCAGACACATAGGACCCTGAAGCCTCTTCTAAGCCTTTCAGCTGCAACTGTAGATGAAATAGGGAACAGTGTAGTGTTGGAGCAGAGAGACGTGGTCTGATTTATGTTTTAACAGCACTTCTCTGGCCGCTGTATTATAAATAGACTGTCGGGAGCTAGGGTGGAAGCAGGGACACCAGTTATGAGACTATTGCAGTTATCCCATAAATAAAATTATTACAGTCTTGTTTCCTGTCACTAGGATGTAAATGCTGTTTTGTTTATAAAATGCTGTTTTGTATCCTAAATACCTAGAAGAATGCCTGGCATATAGTGAATAAAAAAACAACAACAAAAAACCACTTGCTGTCGAGTCGATTCCGACTCATGGCAACCCCGTGTGTCTCAGAGTAGGACTGTGCTCCGTAAGGTTTGGTTTTTCACATACCATGCCTTTATTTCTTTCTACCTAAATGAGTCAGTAACTTGTTGATCATAAAATCCTGGCTTGGTTCAGAGTATGCAAGTACTGTATATGACCAAACAATTAAAGACACTCTTCCAAAACTTGACTGGCATGCAAATTAACACTTTACAGAGTGATATGATAAACATAAGTTTCACACAGCTCTTCCCCTTACGGGGAAAAGACCCCTGGGTTTCAGCACACACTTGCCATGACTTTCAACCCAGAAACATGCATACTTTTAACCCAGAATGCCAAATGGACACTGGCTGAAGGATAAGTTTTATTTTTATGTACAGAAAAATTAGCTGTATACATTAGCCCAGTTTGGGGGCAAGTTCTTTGGCCTTTGCTTTTTCTAGCTTGGCAGTGTGAGCCACAGATTTGGGACCCAGGACATTGCCTTCCCAGTGACAGCAGATCTCATCATTTCTGTCATTGTAATTGGTCCCGATAGCTTCCGTCAGCTTAGCCAGAGCCCCTTTGTCTTCCGA